CAATATCCTAAAATCTGAATAATGAGAACTGTCACGCTGTCACTTTTAGAAAAAACAACCCGAAATTTCGCTCAATAAACGTTTAGACAAGTTCTCTAAAATGAATAATTGCCACCATCCGCCATTTCCAGAGAAATTACATACCTAAAATTATCACATTTTGAAAAAATTCGAACGAAATTACAGAACAAAATACGGCCTGTTTGACTTGTACTTCCACACACTTGATTGACATGTTAAATTAATAAACAAACAATTCTGTCCAACCGTTCACTTTCTTATCAATATAATATGTTAATTTAGAGGACTTCAAGTGCTAGGAGTGAAAAAAATAGTATATATACCACGGTAGAGACGTCTATTATTGCCTTCGCACCTTACACCCCTCGGCGCAAGCGCCTCGAGATGTAATCTTGGTGCTCAGGCAATAATACTGGACTTCTCTACCTTGATATATAATGTACTATTATGTACGACTGCTTGATAATGCGGTGATTACAGTCGCAATTAGTGGCCATAATTTGCAATATTATGGCCTAGTCCATAATGATAAAGTAAAACGACCGCCTGTCAATGTGACAGTCGTACTTTGGTGTCAATTCAAGTATTTTAGAAATACTTGACATATGCTTGACATCTGTTGTCAATGATATATAGATTTTATCGTTTATTGAATTCCATGAAATTTTCATTTTTAAGGGTTGTTGCAGTCGTACATAAAGCTTTGTATATATCGCGTACATAAATAGGCTTTATGGGGACTCGCCTTGTTTATTTGTGTTTCGCTCGCAAGCCCGCTCGGCTAAATAAACGGCTCGTCCATAAAGACCCAGTTTATGTACTTGATAATAGCTATGACGGTCTAGGTTCTAGGATAAAGAGATGATTACAGGACGACTTTTGTTGATATAAAAATCTTAATCTTACCGTCACAATATTTGTTCTACTATTATGTACCTATGCAAAAGATAATCTGCATCTTATTTCATTTACTGCAAACTAGGCACAATCGAACGCTGTATTTCCGGAACAGTCCATTGGATCGGACGGTTGGCCTAATCAATGAGTTTAGTGCGAGTATTGACTTTTTCAGTCCCACTATTTTCTCGTTTAAACGTAGTGTTACTATCGAGGTTAATATTAAATAACCATGTATTTGATATTTTAATGTGTTTTATAAGTTTGTTTCTTACTTTTTATTTTGTAAAATGCCTATGGCGTAAATAAAGTTATTATTATTTGCAAATAAGATGGTACATCAATATTTCTCACAAGATCCCGAACTAACATAAGGAAAAATTATTACTGATTAGCCAAGACTAGTACATGTTTCCCAAAACATTGTCAATCATCTTCCAACACAAATAAAAGAGTTGACTAGATTACATCTAAAAATTAAATAAAAGAATTATTATTTAAAAAACCATATTCCTCTATTGAAATTCAACTGTGATAATATATCTAGTCTAATATGCTGTATGAAACTATTTTGCCTATGATTTTAAGCTATTTATATGTACTAATAATTTGTATTTGTATTTTGTATTCTCTATTTTCTTTTTTTATGTTTAAATTTGTACATTATTGATATGTCAAAGTAACATTTGGTATTTCCGACAATAAAATCCGAAAAATGTAAACACTTATATATGGAAATGTTTTTTGGGTTTTCCGCGCTATAAGTAACTTTAGAGTTCCGTAACAAGAAAACTGCCCAGTCAAATGTCATCAAATTTTAATATGTTGCCAAATGAACACTTCGTAACATGCACTTTCCGAGATATTTGTTGCTATTATAATCGATTGAAAAGATGGAAAGCGCGGAGAGGGAACCCTACTGAAACTTTCTCCGCAAAATTAAAAAAAAAACTTATTCGAAAAGGAGGAGCAACTACTCCCTTAAAAAGTT